AAAAATCGTGGCTACTATGTGCCCCGCTTGTCTCGGCGGGTGTCAGTGAAAGAATTTGCCCACCTGCAAGGCGTCCCAGAGACTATTTACCAATGCATGCTGAAGAAACTGTTGACAGAACATGCAAGCGACAAGAAATGGACAGAGACAAGATGCGAAAACGAAGTGGCCGCTGCCTTCGGAGATGCCATGTCTGTCAATGTTCTTCAACGGGTATTAGGCAGAGCGCTGGTTGCAAGTGGTTTGTGGCCGTCTGAAATTCCCAAATCTGATTTTTGTGCATCCTCTACTGCGTTTAGGGATCTTGACCAGACCTTCCGAGCAGAATCGAGCAAGTGAAGGGGTTCGAAAAGAGAGCAGCTTGCTTCAGCCCATTGGTTTGCTGTACAAATCTTTTAGTCAAGGTTTTGTCGCGAACAATATTGTCAAGCAACTGTCGTTGCAAACAGCTTCATGTTTGATTCACTTTGCACCTCACACAGCCAGTTTCTGTCAAACAGTTTTTGCAAACAGTTTCCCCGTCATTCACTTTGCGCCTCGCTCAGCCGTGTCAAGCAGCGACGACTGTGTTCCTCGGCGGCTCCTCCTGTCAAGGTAGCCATGCCTTCCAATGGCCCCTCTGCGTGGCGCTTGAACAAAGCAGAGCAGTCCCAAGTGAAGAGGGACTTGGAGAAGTGGGAAGTTGAGAACGCAGAGCTCAAGGCAAAGACGCGGGATGAATACAACCGCAAGCTCTCTGAGGAAAAGAAGCGCTTGGAGCGAGTGTTCCAGGAAGCAAAGCACTTGAAAAGCTTGCAGAAACAGAGTGCCAAGGCCAAGGCTGCTCCCGGAGGCAAGGCAGCTGACCAAGCCGCCGGCAGCAGTGCTGCTGTTGGCCCAGGTTTGATGGATTCTGGCGTGAACGAGTCCTACATGCAGAGCTTGAAGAACGATTTGCAGGTGATCGCAGACAAGCTTGGTGACCTCAAGTCGGAGCTTCCTGTTCCGATCCAAGTCGACGACGATAGCAAGGGCGGTGTGCAGGCACAGTTCCTTATTGAAAGAGATGAAAGTGCCTGATTTCTAGTTGACCAGTCATTCATAGGGAAGAATTCATTTAAGATTTTGTCCGGCATTCTTCCTGTTCAGTTATCTTGTCTCGCGGCCAGGAACCGTTCCACCTCGAGGATGCGGGCAAAGCCTTGGATGGGCAAGGCTTGTACATCTCAGCCTGTAACCTGATGTGGATTGACCTTTTTAGGACCTCCAACCCTTCTGTACCGCTCTGCAGAAAGAGAGTCGAAGACTTGGCGTCGCACTACTTCAGCTCCGGTCACTCTTTCTTTCGCTCGGTCCTCGAAGTTGCTGTGGTGAAGGAAGAGCTCTCAGACCGCCCTTCCGGTCTCAAGCTGATCAGCCCAGAAGAGCAGGCCCACTCTATCGTTTTCGCTTGTGCAAAGCGCTTGAAAGAAGCTGATTGCAACGAGGATGAAAGGAAGCAATGGCGGCTGACTTTGCAGCTTGGCCAATTTTTTTGATTTTATTTTGCGCCCCCCTACAAATAATAGAATTTAAAACTTTATTGGATTTTTCACAGCCTATTCAATCTGCAACAGGTTGGGCATTCCGACTTCCATGGTCCTGTGCGCCGAGAAGGACATTTGGCATAAGGCGATCACCAAGCGGCAGCAGGTGATGCAAGAGCATGAATCCATGGCGAGGACGGCCTTCTAGATGAGCGCAGAGCTCGTCAGTTTGAAGGCCTCCTGATCCTGCATATGTTCTTACGACTTTTGATTTTTGACATCTACATTTGCTTTGTTTTTTGGATTTCCTTTCACTGTCAAGTCTTGCTGTTAGGTCATGCTCGAAACTTCTGAGAACCGTCGGCTCTCAGACTCTGAAGCCGCTGCCTTGGTGAAGACCTACCCCATCACTACTGCGAAGACTGGCGGAAATGCCAATGGCGGTGCTCAGTTCTCGGAATGGAATTTCACAGCTGCCGGACATGTCATGCGTCACCTCGGCTCAGATGATGAAATCTTGGCTGTGATCCGTATCCTGGAAGGCAAGTATGGCCTTGAGAGTTGCCTCAACAGCCTTGTCAAACTAGAGAAGCTCGCCACCAAGCCCAGTGGAAAGGCTGCCAGGCGCTGGATCTTTCAGATGATCCTGGACCATCTTGAGCATGGATTGGCTGCGAATGACGACTTCAGCAAGAAGGCATTGATCGGAGACAAGCGCATTGCGGGCTTGGTGGTCCTGTTTGAATGGAAGATGAAGCTTCTCAGCTTCATCTGCGACACTCTCATGCTTCAGGCCAAGGTCTCAGACACTGACCGCGAGGCAATCAAGTCAAAGTGCCGGGATTGCCCATCAATGCGACAAGCGTGCGATGAGAATGTGCAATGGCAGGCCACCATGTCCAGATCTGGGCAAGAGGCTTTGCGCTTTCTCCAGGATGTGGTCTTTTTCAAGACGTTTGACAACGTGCTCAAGGGTGTTTGCAAAGCAGCCAACACCAATCTTGAGGTCCTCATGGAGTTGGATTCGGTCAACGAACGCTGGCAGCAGGTTGTCGCAATGCGGCAGAACGAGATTGCCCAGGAACAAGCAATGGTGACAGGGATCGAGGATGAAGCTGAAGAGTCTCATGATGACGAGGCTGCACTGGCCGAAGCCAGGAAGGCGCCCAACACTTTGCAGCAAGGCAGCCCAAGCTACTGGCGAGCAGTAGCCAACAAGTCAGTGAGGATGTACCTGACCTTCGTGACCGAAGGCAAGAATGACTCCCAGCTGCAGCTCCAAGTTTCCCAGTGGCAGGCTGCAACTGGCTTGCAGCCTGAGATTGGCAAGAAAACGATTCTCGTGCACCTGGACACAGCGTTGCTTGGGGAATCTTCGGGACCGCACTGCCAACCTGAGCTGCGCGGAAAGCGTTGGAAACCAGTTCCTTGCCTTAAATATTTTTTTCCAAGTCATTTTTTTGAAGCGATCACTTTTGATTCCTGTTTTCATTCTTGCCGTTTCAGGACAGTGACCTCGTGGAGAAGCTTGCTGCTTGCCCTTGTATCGGCTTGGGCGCCCAGGCAGTGGACAAGGTTCGTTGCTCCTTGCCTGCAGAAGGCACTGTCGTGGCTGTGGTGGACCCGTTGGGCGCTGGCCCAAAGCTTTTCAAGGAGGCTTCCAAGCTGTCTGTGTGGTTGATGTTCAATGAGAAGTCTGTGCGTGACCGGAAGCAGATCGTCCGAGCTGGTGCCTACAGCCAGCAGATGGTGTGCAACCTCTACACAGGGAAGCCGTTGAGTTTGACCATGCCGGAAGTTGAGCGCAAGATCTACCCGGGCTACAGCCACGGCGATGTCATCGGCTACATCTCGTGCTTGGGCGCGTCAAAGCTGTGGCGAGCTCCCAGGACACGGGTTAGTCCTTTAAAAATTAATGTCCTCTTTTCTTAGGCTTAGGCTTGTTAATTCCAAGGGTCTCAGATTCAGCCTGCCCTCTGTGTCACTCAGGAAGGACAAACTCGATGTTTTGGGGGCGCGGCACGTGTCCTTGGCCAAGCCGGCCGATGATGCCAGCGAGCGAGGGACCAGCGAACCTGACGGCTCTGCGGGAGCTGGGGAGCTTGAGAGCGTGTTCAGCTGTTCCATGCTGCCGCAGGAGTACTATATGGAGATGCTGCATTCATTGGCCGCAATCGGAGTTGTGGACGCATCTCCGGCGCAAGGACCCAACAATGTAAAAATGACACTTCACCAATGTCAATTGACATTTTTGAACTAACTAGTCAGTATACTAATCACATGTAAATATCTCGAATCAACATGGCAAACCCTGCAGGAGAGATGCTGAAAGCGGCAATGGCTTCTCGCCTTCCTTGTTTGGCAGTCTGCGGCGCGGACGCCCACTGCAGGAAGCTTGAGATGATGTTGACAGAGTTCATCTTTGAAGAGCAGCAGCGAGACGGATCCACCTTTTACATCCCTGAGATGAAGATCGCCAAGACGGATGAGCAGCCAGAGGCGGTGCCCAAAGCCAAAGCCAAGGCGAAGGGTAAGACGACTAAGAAGCGCGGCAAGAATGCCGAGGCTACAGAGAAGGACAACGAAGCCAATCCTGAGGGTGTGGAAGAGCCCCAGTCTAAGAAGACCAAGACGACCAAGAAGAAGAAGGATGAGGATGAGCCCGGCTCCGACGCTTCGGGGTCGAGCATGGCTTGGTAGGTATTTTTGTGTCGCTGACTTGCGATGGGTATCATTGTCGCTGAATCCAGTGGCAGTGTGTTGGGAGCCTGCAGTGAAACTCTCACTGCCCTGGCCAATCCTAAGTCCAGAGTCGTTTCTGGAACATCTTGACTTGAAGTCTGTGAGCGGCTCAGAAGGGGAAAATAATGTTCTCTTGGACCAGTTGCTGCAGCCTCAGTAGCACACTGCCTTCACTCACTTGTCACTTGTCTTGTGTTCACGTCACTGTCGCAGCCGTGCCTTTGAAGTTCAGACTCCTTTCCCTCAATGGTTGGAATGCCTGGCAATGGTTGCTATTACATGGCCAAGGTGTGTGATGCAGATTTGCCTGCGATCTCCCTGTGCCACAGTGTGTTCACCGTTTCACCAACCTTCGCTTTGGCTTGCCTCACATCACATTAGCTGAAGAGCTTTCTCCGATGCCTCAGTCGTCTCTCACAATTTTCCTCATCGCCAAGTCTTGGGCTTTGAGGCCTTATCCGCTTCGATTGGCTTGAAGAAACTCCGGCCCAGAGAGATGAATTCATAGAAGCCTTGGCAGCCATGGCAGAGCTGGGCATTTTCATCAGGGCTGGGGAGAGATGCGGCGGCATAATGCTTTGCAGGCATGGTTGTCGACGATGTCGCACTTTGCCCTTACATACATAGATTTTTTAAATTGAAGAGTGTCTGGGCCTAATCCGGTTGGAAAACAGGTCTGGCAAGACACAGCAACTTACTGTTACTTTTCCTGTGCCACAGTGGGCCACGCAAGGTTAGAAGGCTAACTTCTCCTGCACCCATCTGCATATAGGCAAGGAGGCAACGTTCTCCTAAGCCTATGGAGGCTTGTCAGTCTCCAGGTTTTCAAGTCAAGGAGGCGGGCAACTGTCTCCTGTACTGGGAGGTGCCAATGTAGTTTGCTGGAGGGCGCCACCGTGCACAGCGGGGAGGGGCTGTGCATTGACACGACAACACACAATTACAGACTAAAGCCGCTCAAAGGGCAACAGGGGCAACAAACAAGCATCGGCAAGGCAGGCTCAGCTGAGAAATTGCTTCACCAAACCTCGAGAGGATTCATGCCAGCTTTGCGAAATACATGGGTTTATAAGGCAAGCCGAAAATTAAACCCCATGTGAAAAGCGATCTTCAAGGCCAAGCAGCAAGTCCTTTAGCAGAAAGGCCTGCTGAGGCAGCAGCAAAGCATTGCGCTTCGCGCCGCCTAGGTAGCCTGGAGCTTCTTCGGCTGGCAAAGGAATGGAAGACGGAGCCCACTTCAATGGCCATGCGGTTGGGCTTTCTCCGTGGGAAATAATACCTGATGAATCAAGAAAACAGCTCGAAAGTGAACGAAATATTGTTTTGTAATGTTGACCCCTGATTAATAAACGTGGGTGGCAAGTTTTGAAATTTTGGTTAACCCTAAATAAAGCTTATCACAGGTTCCAAGAAATACTTTAAATAAAACATGAAATGATCCCTCACTAAAACTAAAAGTTAAAAGGCAGATATAAGTAAATTAGATATGAAATGAACCTTTATTGAAATGAATATCAAAACAACAGGGAATTCGTGTTCAAATTAAAATTGAATTGGAATTGAATTAGAATTCAATTGCATTTGAATTTAATGAGAATTGAATTATAACCTAACTGGAAAAGAATTTCAGTTGAATTTAAATTGAATTAGAACTGAATTGAGTTGAACCAGAATTGGATTGGAATTGGGTTAGAACTGAATTAGCTTTCTGTTTTGATGAATATCCATTAGCTTGATTAGGGCAAACTTTATTTAGGGTTTGGTGGTTTCATGGGGGGAACCCTTTCCAGCATGGTTTTGATCAATTTCCAATTGTAATTCAATAATGGATTGATAAAGGAATGTTGTCAGAAGGTTTTGTGGTTTGATGATGAGGGATTTAGTTGAGAAGGAATCCAAAGAAGAAATCTGTTAACACAGAAACTATTAGGACCAACTAAACACAGATTCAAACAAGCTCTTGCTTCAGTACGCATTTTTTTTATGCCTATTTAGGGTAAACTTTATTTGAGGTTTGGTGGCTTCATGGGAGGAACCCTTTCCAGAATGGGTTTGATCAATTTTCAGGTGTTCTTTAATAAGATGTTTAAACAGAATTGTTGTCAGAAGGTTTTATGGTTTGATGATGAAAGATTTGGTTAAGAAGGGGTCCAAAGAAGCAATCTGTTAACAAAGGAAGTAATAGAGTCAACTAAACACAAATTCACACATTTTTCGGTACACAAAAGTCTTTGAACATTAATTAGAGTTTGGTGGCTTCATGGGGAGAACCCTTTCCAGAATGAGTTTGATCAATTTTCAATTGTTCAGAATTGTTGTCAAAAGGTTTGTGGTTTGATGATGAAAGATTTACAGTAGTTAAGAAGGAATCCAAAGAAGCAATTGTTCACAAAGGGGTGAAAAGAACTAACTATATAAACACAAACTCAAACAAGTGTTTTTCCAGTGAACAAAGTTGGTTAGCTTTGATTTAAGGTAAACTCGAGAGTTGGGTGACTTCAGGAAAATCAATTAGCTTTAATTATTGTAAGCTTTATTTAGGGTATGGCGGCTTCATGGGGAGAACCCTTTCCAGCATAGTTTTGATCAATATCCAATTGTCTTTAAAGTAATGAATTAAAAAAACTGTTGTCAGAAGGTTTCGTGGTTTGATGATGAAGGATTTAGTTGAGAAGGAATCCAAAGAAGCAATCTGTTTAAAGGCATGAAGGATTTAGTTAAGAAGCAATAGTTAACAAAGGAACGAAAAGAACTGAAACTCTATATGCAAATTCAATCAAGTAATCTTTCCAGTGAACAAAATTGGTTAGCTTACCTTAGTCCCTTTATTAGTCAGGGTCAACATTAATACCACTGAGAAAACAACTAAACTCAGCGTGAAGCTGTACGCGTCGAAGCTGACTTCCTTCTGTGGCTTTGTCGGACTCGGGGTGGGGCTCCAACAGGGAGAGCTTTGCCAATCCGCCCTCTCCTCTCTTGAGCTCCAGCCCCAGCCCGACGAGCTCCAGCAGTCTCCAGCGCTTCATCCGCTCCAAGATCCAGGACATGACGAGTAATTGCGAGCAGTGGAAGAACAACTGCTTCAGCCCTTGCTCGGTCCAAAGCTCTGACCCACAGTGAATCCATGCGTCCAAGGTTTCTCCCAGGACTTCGGAGCCATTTAGATCGCGACTTGAAATAAGGAACAGCTGCGCTATTGACTGAAAAGGGAGCTCGATTTTCCACACAAAGCCGGGGCTTTCGTGAAAGACTGAAGCGCCCACCTTTTGACACCTTCATGAGCCATGACCTTCAACCCTCGCACACACACCGGCCCCGCCCCACTGCTGCTTCCGAACAAAGCTGCTCCCCACCTCTGGTTCCCAACCGCAACATTTTCACACTTCATCGGTTCCCAGTGGGCAAGCGGTTCTCCGTCTGACACAGCTGGAGAGCTGCGCATGCAACGCGCCAGAGCCAGCACTTCTCCTCGCTGCAACTGGTGGCAAACTGCAGGCTTGCGAAGGCTCTCATCAGCCTCAGCCCGTTGGTCTGTCGATGCCTTTCGCCCTTTGAAAACAGGCTTAAAACCCGGAAGGGTACCTGTATTCAATCTTCTCTTGTTGTCTTGAATGTTTGAGGCTTCTAACTGGCAGGTGATATATCACGAGTGCTTTTACTTGATAGAATAGAACTTCGGGTCTTTTTGGCACTGTTCATCATGACTTTCCAACTTGCTTCCTCCTCCTGCCAGCAGCGCCACCGCTCCAATTGCAATTGCAGCGGGGCACACGACGCAGGTTACAAAGCAGCGCTAGTTTCAGAATTGCTTGTTCGTGGAGAAAATCCTCTTGTGGCATCAGTTTTCTAAGATTCAGGAGCCACAGCCAAAGCCCGTTGGATGCACTCACTTGGGCCTGTTGCAAGTGCTTGCTTTCAACTATCTGGGCCGCTTTCTTATCCCGCGCGCGGATGCAAAAATTCATTCACCGTGCTTAATCTTACACGTTTCAACAAGCACTGACCAAGGGCTGTCAATGATGCACGCCGTAGGCTATTGCATCCCTTCTACCAACAATGACATTCAAAATTTCTCATTCGGGGAGCCAAACCCATGGAGCAACCCACGCGGTATTCCCTTGAAAATCTTGCAAGTGAAACTTTCAATGCAGTGGAAGCGCAGTTGCTGGGTGCTCCCAAAGGAAAAGCCTTTGAGAACTTTTTGCCCAAATCAAGGGGTCTGCCACGGCGCACAGTTCCAACTCCTGCTTGCTGGTCCGAGAGGTCAGGCGATGTTAGCTTCTCAGATCAGGCTCCACTACCAATGTGAAGTTGTTTGCAGCATCTCCTTCAACCCTTCTTCTACTACAAAGCACCCTGCGTCTTCTCTCCCTTGCGACTTGACGACAGCGTCCCTGCAGGTGCTATGGCCCGAGCACGTGACCCACAGCCCACTCTCAGCTGAGCCTCCCCTTGTGCTCCATGCTATGGGCGACGGCAAAAATGGACATTCGATCAAAT